TTCGGCGTAATATCGCGTTTTTAGAGGAGATGAGGTCGCCTATCTACACAATTTTTGATAGGCATCAGGCCAGAATAATGGAAATTATTGAAGGTAGTGTCCAAATAGGAAGGGAGCGTGGGTTTCATGTCACGCGAAAGTGGCCCACCTCATACAGTACATTGCAAGTACAAGGTTATAACGTTCGACCCGAAGGAAAAAAACGATCGGGAAAGTGGGGAAACTTACACTTTGGGGCAGGATCCTCCGACCTTTTTGGTTTCCTGCTATGCAGAAGAGTACGCGTGCCGTTACAGTCAAAATCGTAGGGTCCGCAGCGACTCTGCGTCTCAGCCTTGGCGTCGAATTTCAGATTGTACATAAGGCTTTTAAGGACGCAGTTCTCACCGTTTTCGCGTCTTTTAATCTGTATTTTCGTATTTAGCTTGTGGATAGCCTTCGGTAAGTGGATTTTCTAAAAAAAAATATGTTTTTGGCACTGCCTTTGAGAACGTGTGTGAGGTCACTACAAGACGTTTTGCATTTGAGCGGTTGATGTTTATTAGGCAGAATAAATGTGGATCCCTCCACTGGGACATAGCAGTCGATGGCGCGTGTGACTCACGAGGTCATAGCGCCGAGTTCTGTCGTGTTCCGCAAGTAGATGAGAACGAAGCTGTGCATACACACAAAAGTACTGCACAGACCGCAGAGAGATATAATTTGCAATGAAAATGTTTTAGCAACTCTGATGAAGAAGTTCACTTTTAAGTGGAAGGCGTGCAGCAATTGAGAAGGATGGGTTCCGCCGCCTACAACGCTGGTTGAGATCAAATGATCTTCATATTAACGCGACCTCAACCGATCGTAATACTATATATGGCAAAGAGATAAGGAGTACAACCAGGGTTGAGCGTGGGGTCAGGCGCGCCTGACCTGGGGGTCGTATTAGGAGTGAAATGGGGGGTCGTAATCAAGAAGCGAATTTGTTTAGAAAAATTGAAATACTACGTTCGAGTAAGGTGAAAGAAGAAAAGTGCTTAACCGTGAATCTCACAACTCCACCAGAGGAATGATTGTGACGTGAACAACATGCTGGTCAAAGGCAGCAGCTCGCCAAAACCGAACATCTCAACATTTTGACGTGGAAGGTTGCTTGCACCCAAACATGAGAACAGAGCAGGTCCGAGCGCACAGCATGCTGTCCTTGCCTAGAAAACCCCGTTACGCGCAAGGCATCTGATACGCGCGGACGAGCTCCGATTCTCTCTGACCCGTTAGAGAAGGCATGCCGTAATGTTATAACTGCGAGGGCCCCGCAACGATTCTGCCTTTCTAACCATGGCGGGACATACTCCACTCGTCCAAATTCAAAATGAGCCTTGAGGAATGGTGCTTTTTGCCATTTTCGCGCTCTTCTAGGTGGATCTTCGGAATCAGCGCCTCGAATTACCCCCCAGGTAAGCAAAAAAACTTCAAGTCGAAAGCCTGCCGAGCCGCTGCCTTTAACTTGACTGACCAAGTCTCAGCCAAATTTCAATTCTTCACAAGGCGTAAGATCCTAGAGAAGCTTTTCGTGTAAATTGAGTATGACTTCCGTAATCAGCATGCCAAATTACCTTGCACCTGACCCCATTACCTTACCTTCAAACAACTCAAATCTTTCCATTTTCTCACTCAAACTTTTGATTGATCCTTCTTCTCGCCACAGCCAAAATTTTATCCGATTTCATCGCCTCTTCAAAAAGTTATCAGTGGTTAATCCTACCCATGTATCAAAGACGATCGTCGTAAATCCTCCGTTAATTTTGTCCTACTGTAGGAACGCATCCGTGCGAAGTTTTTGCACGGGATTGCGAAACGCGGCAAATTTCGTTTTTGAGCGGTCATTTCATCTTCTCGTCGTCGGCGGGCCGGCTCCGTTGTAAACTTTTACTTTATTTCTCTCATTACTTTCTTTCTTCCCAGCTTTCCTGTTTCCCAAATCGCAATTCCAAATCATCGATTTTTGGAATTCATGGTCTCGGTAAGTGAGCGAACCAAATTTCCACCAAAAATGTGTATTGCCTTTGCTGGTAAGTGTGTTTACACACTTTAATTTGATTAACTAACCCAATATTTTCAGTTTATCCTCGGTTGTATCGCCGCGAGTGCTCATCAACAAAAAACCAAGCGGCGGAGGCGAGGGAGGGGGGGGGGGGAGCGGGCCTCCTCCCTTTTTATGAAAGACAGATGCTGGGCTACCGTTCGGATCCATCAAGCCGCACTCAGGGCCTAACGATCCGCTGAATCGTTACACTTTCATTATTGTTGCCCTGATAAATTTTTGGTAATGTAAAAATTTTGTGAATTTTTTTGGACTATTTTTGTTGTTTTGGAAACAAATGTGTTGTTATATAAGAATCTACACAGAGAAGAAAGTTGCAGAGCTGGGGGCGGGGGGGGGGGGTCGTTTTCGGCAGGGCTGCGCCTGACCCCTTGCTCAACTCTGATTACAACTCCCAGTTTAATGCCAACATTAAGTGGATGCTCGACCCCTGGCATGTCTTTCGCCACCTGTATGAAAATATCCAAACTGTAACATCTTAAAATCTTCGAAAGAAGATGAATGATATGGCGGCTATCTTTTAAGGCAGCCAAGCAGAAAGATTGCGAAGTTTTAGAAGATTGGATAGAAGCTCTTCAATTGCATCTGTATCATGTGGACAAAGCGAAGACAGCGACTAATGAGACAAACATTTGATCGCTGTCTAAATCATGTCACGGAGGCAGTTTTAAGGCAATTAGACATTCAAAAGCACCAACTCTAGAATGCGCTGGCTGGGTCAGCAACATCATTTAGCTATGAACACTTGCCTGCTCATAAAAAACCAAAGAAGCATATCAAGATGTGAAGAGAAGTAATGATGTAAGAAATCGAATTGATAAAGGCGCTATCTACTTACTTGTGTGAAGTAGCAGCTGTTCAAGAAGCGCCCTGGCTATGATACGGCATAAGCGTGGTCGATGAAGAAGAGTGTCCGTAGCTGATAAGTTTTTCTTGTTGAACATCTAACAATAACAACATCATCTCCAAAGGGTCACTTTATGATCACCATACCGACATCAAAACGACAATGAAATTTCTTTGACTGTTGCTCTGTAGAAAGATTTACAACCAGATGCGAACTCCCGAAAGGCGCAAATACTGATCCCATGCGTGAAAACAGGGATTTCTTACACGAGCTTCTTGTACAACTTACTAATTTTGCTCGTTGAGCGTCAAACTCAAAAGACAAAAGAATGTTATCCCTCTTTTGCAACCTCGCTTCTCCGCTCCCCTTTGCCGCCAAGTTGTTTTACTATGTAACAAGAATATCTTATTGATTATCTACTTATAGTTGGCCTCATCTAACACGGTAATAAACGCTGAAAAGGAGTAATGCTTGTGTATATATTTAACTGTATAGCAAAAGTGCGTTCTTAGTTACCATGCACCTTTTTGTATCTATCTGCTAAATAATTTTCAAGTAAATTTTTTAGAACTACTTTCATCTGAGGACGCATACATGAAAACCCCGGACGAAAGGAAGGCGAGCTCGAGAAAAGATTACATTTCGCGCTCCAGTGAACTAAAATTCGTAGCAAGATATTTTACTATTGTTTACAGTTATTCCATTCCGTTCCCCGTATGGTTTTTAAAACTTTTACAAACGTCGTAAAGACGTAATAAAGACTTCTTCCGACTGCAGCACATGTTTCTAAAAAATAGCAGATATACTGGTGATTTCGATTAATAACTCGGTATTCACCGATTTCTTGACCTTGATCGTTCACCTCATATAGGAACATGTTAGCTCATTAATCCTGTTACATCAAAAAAAAACTTCATATACCACCGAAACAATAGATGCCCAGCGAGCGAGTAATGTATCGCATGAGACTTCGACAGGATGTAGGAAGCAGGGACATATATGTGCAACGCACAGTTATCACTATTTCCCAAAAATACTGGAATGTTAGACATTAAAAGATTGTGAACTCAACAACATTAGACAGAAAAATGGAGTCGAACATTTGCACCTACACCTACTACAACAGAAACTAAGGAGCAAAGAAAATTATGTGCAGGCAAAGATAACTTACTAGAACGCTCAAATTCGAGTTGAATTTTAATCTGATCACTTCAATGTACATGATTACTTTGTTCCTAATCACCATTCTTAAATTAAGCGGCGTAAAAAATTGAAGATGGAGCTTAGTTTCGACAGAATTTGGCAGTGGAAAGAAAAAGAGCAAAGAAAAAGTTTTTTCCTGTAACTGCAAAGAACATATGCTTATTGATTATTGCTCACGCAAGTTACATCTTGTTTTTGCAAAGCTAGAGAAGCGGCTGATTTCCAAACTTGATGGTTAATATGAAAGTTGATTTTCGAAACGACTTACAGTACTGAGCGCGACTTTCTAACTATTTTGATGATGGAAAGAAACGCTTATTTAGGAACAGCAACTTTGATATGGATGTACTGACCACCGTATCGTATCAAGCATGCAACACCTTCACTCCCATAAGAGATGTAAAAGAAATATCTACATGCAAAGTACATTATTTCATTCAAAAAAGTTTCTTTCAAAAAAAGATGCTTGAAAATGAAGTCGCCACGATTAGCAGTCCCGGTAACATATGCACATAATCAACTTCATTATACTCAAAACCTTGATTACTCCTCCCAGCACTGCCTTTCAATTCTCAAGGTCACAATGTACATCATCCTTTTCTTGTTAGCGAAAGGGCAACCTCGTACTTCATGAACCCTTTATTACTTGAGAAGGAATAATCAGAAGAGAAGTGTGAGTCTTTCTTCGCGGGACCCACAAAAATTTGAGGCGAACTTCAAAGCCATTGAAATTCGCACTTACTCCTCAGAAACTCTTTTTTAACGCCATTGATGCATCAATTAAACATTATACATGTTCCCTAGTCCCCTAGTTTTTTTACAATGCACAATTTGAAAAGAAATGCGAGTTAGTTGAGCATCAATATGCCCTCGCAGATCTGTTGCTGTTCAGAAGGTGGGCTTGCACAGTTGGAACATTCGGCTTTCTTCGACGTAAGGGCCCGTAGTAATCCACCCTACCTGCCGGCATGTTTTGCCGTCAGCTCGCCCTGAGGTCGATCTGAGGTCGCCAGAATTTCAAACTCCCTGCGTAGACCCCCAAGCCAGATAAATCACCTCTTTCTGCTGTGATAGTTTAGTTTTCTCATCAAATTTGTGTGAGGATTGAAAGAAAACTCAAAAGAGGTCCTCGTTTCTCATTAATTTGGCCCAAAGTGTGAAGCTGCCGGCATGTTCACGACCTATTTTCGTCGAAATTTGAGATGCCATCTCGCCCTCAGCCAGCCGGCATCTCGCCGGCAGGTCAGAGAGTGTACAAAATAGTGTGTCTTTGGTGGAGTGCGACCTGCCGGCATCTCGTCGTGCCCCTACCACGTCGGGATGCCGGCAGGTTCATTACATTCCCATAGTTTTCCGCCTGATTTTCGATAAATTAATTTTATTTCAGTACTTTTTCTTTGTGGTCGAGGCATACTTATGGCCAAAACAGTTAGTAAATAGAAGAAATTTGCTGGAAGGATAAAATTTTCTAGGTTGTTGATAGAAACAACAGTTTTAGAAAGTATCATGCGTCGCTAGGATTGTTGATCGTTCCTCGTTTTTTAACGCATGCTTCTATAACTGCATGTTAATCTGTAGCTAGTTTATCGAAGGTTTCTTTCATGTTTATTGCTTTTCTGAACATAATTTGAACATAATTCTCGGTATAATGGTGGCGTTTCTCATCTTGTTATGGTCTCAGTTCTGCTTTTCACGTAACACCTAAGCTCAAAGTTTCTTTTTCGTTGTTTTACCTTAATGTGCGCATCTACTATACTTTAAGGAATAATTCGATAATCTACTGATCATTACTGGCGTTTATTATAGCAAATTCACCTATCATTCTCACAACTGTTGGTGCAAAGGAGTTTCACTTGAACAAAAGTATGTTTCAATTTATACCGTTTTGTGATTAGTTGAAATCTCCAATTATTTCAGCTTTGTGGCTCCTCCTCGCTAGTTCTGTGAGTATGAACACTGCGATTACAGCGAGGAGGAGTTGCCAGCCGAAGTAGGTCAACCTGGCTTCAATTTTTCCAGCTCTCAGATACTAGGACTTGTCTGCTCGTCAATGTCAATCTAATCTGGTATGGCTTCCATCCAAGAAATAACTCGCACGTTTGGAGTTCAGTCATCAGTTATATTTCAATAGCTCTCACTTAGATTAGGGCTTATAGTAAAATGTACAGTCAATCACTTCGTACGTATTTTTTTAAGGAATTGTTAAGCTTACGGAATATTGAAGTCCGAAGTTTGTCTAATCGTCTTGTCATCAGGCTCAAAATCGATCATGTACATGTGAGTTCTATCACATTTCGTTGCTTTTGAAAACGCTTATTCCTCATTTGTTTTTGATTTGATTTCTTAAACCCGTTAATGGCTGATTCTGTGACATATAGTTCATGAAATATGAAGAAGTGGGTTTGAATGTTTAGAGTATACTCAGATGTTAAACATGCACAAGCGGACCGCGTTTTTCAAGAACTTGTTGAAAAAAACTTAACTTTCATTCCGTATTTTTCTATTGAATTGGTGAGTCTTGAAAAAAAAATAACCAGAAAATAGCCATACTCCGAAGCTTGTGCTAAATATAGGCAAGTCATTACACGCAGAGACAGAGCTCCCCTACATGGACGCTGTCGTCATTTCTTTGTTTATGCCACTTTAATTTCTCTTACCATCTACTGTCTCTTCTAAGCACGAAGTGTCTTCGTGTATGCAACAGCCTGCAGTCTTTGCGTGCGATGAATTGCCTACATATGATTTTGGCAAAATCATTCTGAAGAAGTTTGCATGGGCCTATCAGAAGTCAAATAGCTTCAAACGGCAGGAGGTTTCATCCAGATGGTTGGATGTTACAGTCAAGAATCGTTTTCATTAGCTCATATCCAGGCTATGTTGCACTTGATGCATTATGCATATATGGTCTTTTGCCTACTTTGCCTTCATTTCTGATGACGTATTATTGATTTCAGATGATGGAAACGAAGAGAACAACAACATTTAGTTGAGGCTATAATCACGAATGCCAACCGAGTTTATCAACGTTACTAACATTACCATCCATCACATGCGTGTTTACATGCTGTACTTTCCATACCTGGCATACTGGTGCAGCTTTTCCTCAATCTATAGTGGTGAGTTCTTTCTTTTCATTATTTCTCCTTCTTGCTTAAATTTAGTTTTTTTTTCATGCATTGAAATCAATTTCATGAACTTATTACTTTTTACTCTTAAGAATTGTTTGCTCGCTTCTTTCCTTGAAGGCAGTGTCCCGGCAAAAAGTAGAACTTGATATTATGTGCTTCCTTGGGCCTATTCGCTATTTTGAATCCGGAAATTAACACCGGAGAGCGCAAACAGTGTGACGTCATTCTCTCAACTTCGGGAGTGATCTTCTTGCTTTTGGCATCGCCTAAACATCGCCATCAGCCAGCTGCGAATGACTCAAAATCGGAACTGACAAGATCGCTTTTGAAGGGCCGGGCGTACTTAACGCGATTTCAGTCGTGATGCGATTTGGCAATATTCCAACTGTTTATAACTCATTGCCAGCCCTTTTTGAGTGTGCAGAAGATACGGCATTTATTAGTCGTAAGTTATACGCACTATGCATGTACGGTTTGCTAGTATTGGATCTGAAGGCTTCTGGCGAATTGCCAAATCTTGTCGCGACTGAAATCGCGTGAAGTATGGCCGGCCCTTGAGGCTGGGAGAGTGACGTCACAGTGTGAAGAGCTCTGCTCAGCTGCGATTTCCCTCCTGCGTTAGAGCCCTTTCTTGCCGTTTTCGCGCTCTCCATTGTGGATTTTCGTATTCAGCATTCAGTAGCGAATAGGCCTAGGTAAGCACAAGCTTTCAAAATCGATTTTTTGCCCGGACACTGCCCTTGAGGGCCGGGCGTATATCATGCGATTTCATCGCCTCGCGTTTCTCAGAATTAGACGACAGAGTATTGAAAGAGTATCGCCGTAAGAGTATTGCATTGTAAGAGCAACGCCGTAAGAGTGTTGTATTCACCGCAACCCGGTCGGAAAAATACATATGCGAATAAAACACAGCCGAATGCCTTTCACTTATAAGTAACACAGCTTTTTTTTTTGTTCAACTTAACTTTAGTGAGAACATGCACAGTATATTCCAGGTGCCCTGAGATGCAATCTTCAGACAAATCTTGTTTCCTCCGTTCGGTGGTTTCGGAGGTTGCAGGCTCTTGCGACGGCTACTGGCGGGTAAGAGGGCTTCAGGTTGGTCTGAAGCTGCCTTTGGTACGCAATTCATAACAAATCCATTCATAGCATTTCAAAGTGATTATCTTCACGGATAACAGATACTTGGTGACATACCAGCTCTTGGCACATATTTTTTTGATGTTGAGTTTTTGTTTTGCATTCTTTCTGATGCAAACATGTTGTTTCGAATGTTATGTCTTATACTTTATGTCATTGTTGTGTGATTAGATCTTCGTAGAAACAAGTCGCAGCAGTCTTACAGATTTTCCAAATGCTTATGTTGTGTATTGATTCTAGCATGAGTTCTGATCAAGATGGCCTTCTCAAATGAAAAATTTGAGATGTCTTTTCATCCTGTATGAGATAGGCTTCGATGTTGAAACGTCTACGCATTTTGTAATAAATTCTTTTCCTATTTCGTTCATCCCCACATATAATAGAGGGAAGTTGTCTTCTAACTCCTTGTACCCTTTGATCCAACTGGCTTGGCTCGGGGAAGGCGGGACTTCGCGATCTAATTTAGGCTAGGTAATGATCAGAGAGCACGGCGGGGAGAGATGCAGACTGCAATTAGGTCATAAAGTCCTTCGCGGAGCCAAGCCAGTCGTATGAAGGGATACAAGGAGTTAGATTAGTCATGTTGAAAGACTGTCACAACAGAACTGAAAGATCGGCATACAATGAACTCGTAACATTTTTCTTGCGATGAATCGCTACGATGAAATCTGAAAGCTTGAAAGCTTCGTCAATTCAAATCCATCGAATCAGCAATAGGCCCCGGACAGACTTCACGCGACTTAATCGTCGCGATCTAATCGCCAAGATTTCCATTCATTTTCATTTCACATTCAAAAATTTCGGGCTGGAAAAGTATCACAACCGAATGCAAATTGGTCAGCATGGAATGATGTTGTAACAGTTGTCTCGTCGCGATTCAGTCGCGACGATCAAATCGCGTGAGTCTGCCCGGGGCCGTAGGCATCGGAATCGCGAGGATTCAGTCGCTTTACGTATTTACATGGCTTAACACGTCAATCACTGTCAATATTAGTCTCAGAGTTTACTACCGCGTGTCATTTCATTTCTTGCACTCGTCATCGCCGGTTGTGTTTGGTCATGCTGCACCGCTCCAAGGCAGCTGGAGCATCAATCTAATTTACACTTTAGTTGTAAAAGTAAGTCATAGGTCTTGCCCTCCGACTTTCAAGGAATCGCTGTCCAAATTGATGCGTCTTCGAAGGTAGAATTTGTTATGAAGCTACTACTATCTAGCTGAATGCGTTGGTTTTTTCACAGCAGTTATGTCCAAAGCATTGCAATGCATGTATTTCCACTACCGGATATTCTATCTACATATATGGTGTTTACGAACACCTGATCAAATCAAATAAAACAGGAACTTCTTGATCAATCGATACGCGTAGTTGTTCGTACCAAAATTCAGGTTGTAAGCATGCATTGCTACGCTTTGTATTCTGTAGTTTTTTTGCTTTGCTAGGTCCCTATCATGACCAACCACCTCAGGCCTATACGTTCCTAACGTTGGAAGGTGCAAATAGCGAGAATAGCGATACAATCATTCTGATTTCTGTATTCACTTTACTCTCCCAAAACAGAAAATGAACAATTAAAATACTAAAACCGCCCTTGTCTCATCATTCGCAGCACATGATTTCTTGTTTGCAAGTAATTTAAAACTGTTCTATTTCCTATCTCCTGATTCGAACAGATATACCAGAATGGCTCATTTCTATCATTAATCTCTAATTACTCAAAGATATCGTATCCTTTGTGACTCTGCAATCACTTTGCTTCAAGAATTACTCCACGAAACGAAGTCAGAATGAAATTTTCTCAGTGAAGAAAACTTCGATAGTCTTTTTGCACCATCCGGCTGAAATCGTTAGAGCTGAAATTGTCTTCATGCCTGCCAAAACGAGTACCATGTTTGCACGGCGACGCCTGCTCAGCCGAATATGAGGGGGAAGGGGGCCGGTTTCCCTTGTTTCTTGTCGTATAGACACCGTATCGAGATTGCGGATAACGCCGCTTTGGAGTTGCATGGCGGTGCCGTGTCTGCGCCGATTCAGCGCCGTGCCGTAACGGTGCAAACACTCGCAATCGGGCTCCGACATCGCGCTGCAGCGGCGCGAACATTAGGTTGGGGGTGGAGGACTATATGTCGCCGAATCTGGAAGAGTCCTGCGCGGATTCCCTGCGGGAACGCATGTCCGCGCATATACAAGGGTGCGCATTTGTCGCAAATGACCGCGGGGACCGCCCTTTTTCGGCGACATATAGCCCTCTACCCTGAGGTGGGTGAGGGAACGAAAGCCGCCAGTTTGGGCCGGCTTCGCGGACTACTGGTCCTGCAACGACATGCAACAACACTGCGAATGGACCAGTTGGCCGCGAAAGACGACACAAACTGGCGGCTTTCGTTCCCCCACCCCCCTGAGGTTGGCACGTGCCAGACAAAACACTGCCTTACCCGAGCAGGGTTTTGTATTTTTCCATTGTGTATACTTCCACACTTAACTCCACAGCGTCATTCACTTCGTAACGCATCGAGAAATGCTCTACTTCCTTAAGGATGGCGTGGCTTTCATGACCAAAAGTCTTTCGAGATTGCTGACACCGTGTTGTGGTTTATATTTATGTTGGTCTCCATGAAGAACCCCACACGAATGCCAGTAAATCTTCGGAAAAAGTCAATCAGCAGTGATTCATGGCAAGAGGTAAAGACTTTCTGTGAAATCCGTAAAATGCAGAGTTTAGGGTTCTTCATGATTTCTTTATTCAGATGAATGATCTTCGAGTCGTAATCCGCTACGATACCCTAGCTACGGTATCTGTAACCAAGCTTGGAAACCTTCCTGACAAAGCTCGCCTTGCACGGTATAGATTCAGTACAAGTTAGGCTAGCCCCAGACGAAGGCGACTCCCTACGTACAGGGGCTTTCAATATAATTGTCAGGGTCGAGGTCGTTCAGGTCACCAAGTGCTGTCTCGCCTGGGTCTCTCACGTGATACAACCTCAGACAGCGGATAGGACCCCTCCGCCGGAGAAATGGCAGGGCCGCGGGGTTTCCCCAGCGGTGGGTCTGCCACTCGTCCGCCGGAGCCCTCCCATTTTTGCTCCGGAGACCTCCCATTTCTGCTCCGGACCCCTCCGATTTTCTGCGGCGCGGCTCTTCCAAATCTGGCGGACTCGCGCCAGGAAAATTTCTCCGGCGCGAGTCCGCCAAATCTGGCGTACCTCCAGAGCAGAAATGGCGTACCTTTGCAGCAGGGCCGGAGAAGCGTCCCATTTGCCTGCCAGTGATGTCACCGCGATCTACAAGAAGGGACCGCCCATTTGCCCCGCTCTCATTGGTCAACTGGCTCCGGCGCGACTCTGACAGATTCCGACTGTCTGACGGAGGGGTCCGGTCGATTGTCTGAGACACCGCATCTGATATCGTGAAGCCCTCAACGGATGCGGTGTTGTATCATGAGAGACCCAAGCGAGGCTGCTCGCTTGGAGCTGAACCACCTCGACCGCGATAGTCAGATTGAAAGCCCTCAAAAGTCCTCGTAAGCGTATATAGCGTGCACGTGAGGTACGACCCTCACAATTGCAACCTTTTTGAAACATAAACCCCCTGCCCTCGTTCTGGATAAACATTTGATCTTCTTGAAAGACCAGTTTCTGTTTTCAGACTAGATGCTTTTGTTGAAGAAGTGATATCATTACCGGGTGTATGGTACGTAGTCAGCGTGCACTATTTTATTAGAGATCTTTGTGAGTTCGAAAAAGAAATGAGCAAGGTCGAAGTTGACATTGCCGAGAGACCTGTAAAAGATACTTCCGAAGGTAATACCTTGTTTTCAACAAAAAAAAATTACCTACGAAAATTTATTTGAGGGAACGTTGCTCTACTGAAAGGGTTGGCTATGTTTCTGGAATGGCCCGACTACGAATTCCGGCGTGAATATGTCCGTTACAAAAAGAGTATTATGTGAGAACAACACGTGCCAATTTAATGTTTTAAAAAAATCTGTTAAGACAGGATAACATTTCTTGATTACAGCTACTTACAGGTATCATCCAAAAGTCAGTAGAGACATGTTGCTGAAAAGCTGGCGAGCATTATTAGGTCGACGCGCGTAAGTGTTTGCATGAGAAGCAATAGTCAATATCCATTCTCAAATTTTTAGACCGAGACTCGACATCACTATCTACTTCGACGATGGCATCTATTTGGTCTTTATCGAGAATGTGCCCACTTACACACCGCAGGTAAGATTTGACTTCATTTGAAGTAGTAACGTGTACTACCATCTATTCCCTTTTCGTCGACGTTGAGCTAGAGAATAGAGCTTTCGACGTTGAGGTAGAGAGTAGAGCTACGCGCTACGTTCGCGCATCCTCCGTGAGTAAGGGTTGGGTATTGGTATTCACAAAGTGGACGAATTTGCGGGCCGTCTCCATGATTATGCAAACGTAACGAGTACTCAACACTCAAGTAAAAACCAACAATTCAGTACACAACTCACAGCTTGCACGTGCTGCTACCGGACAGCAGTATAGAGTTCTCTGCAAGCGCTCGTCAAATAACTTTCAGCGAGCGCTCTGACTCTTTTCAACGACTTTCGTGCGTACACCCTAAAGTAAGACCAGGGGGGCCATGGATGGTATAATTACCCGAGTTTGATTTAATTTCTCTTGGAAGGTACTAGGGGCTGTGCGGTTTTTCACAAAGGAATGTGTGGTTGTCCACAATTTTGCACGGAAACTCCTCGAGAATGCTCAGAATGGTCTCAATTACAGATTTTGCCAAGTATGGCTAACAAAAAATTTATATGCATAGGAACTCCTTAGAAATACATTGACAGCTATTAGTCTATTTAGTGTGAGAGCAATTTCGATAACTCATACTCGCAAATCGGCAAAGTCATAAAAATATAATTTCCTTGTTGATCTTGCATACTATTACAGCATAATAATAATCTACTATTTAGAATGCTGCCCGCTCTCATCATTCCAGCAAATCTTTCTGTCACTAGGCAGAGAAATATTAGATATCGACGTGAACACCATTGAGACTATTTCACGCTAATCAACTGATTATGAGGAAGTATCGAATGGGTGAAAATCATCTTCGTCGCCTGTGTAGCCTTCTTGCGATTGGACGGTTGACGTATTGCGAAATCTTTCGTTCTTTGGATAGAAGAAGAAGAAGCATTGGGAAAAAGAAAAAATTTGTGTAAAAAGACTACTGAGTGAATAAATATAAATCCGATTAGCAGTTGTGATGGACAGAACGCACATACCACGTTTGAATGCCTAGCTTCTAAAATGCTTGATTCTTTCACTTCATATGTGCTTTAAATATCTCTTTTGATTTTAGCTATTTCTGCAGAAGGATTTAGTCTCTTGTAAATAAATTTGAGTCGAACATGAACAAGGTCTGTCAAGGATCTGAGGTACGGGAATAGTGATAGCTTCATATAATAGTATTTCAGACAAAATTTGATCATACGGAAGTCATTGCCGAAGAGGTAATGAAAAGGAGAGATATCCTCTGGGATAATGCTAATAACAGGCTCCCGAATTTGAACGCAAGAAGATCCGCTGCTTGGAAGCAAGTTAGGAATGCAGTGTTTACCAAATGTGATAGAGACATGACGATTGAGCAGATTAAACGGTGTTGGCGAGCGAAAAAAGGCTTTATTCGAGATTTACTGATGAAAGAAAAAAGGTAATATCAAATGTTATGATCTAAATCGAAAGTAAGTTATTATAGCTACCGCACGGGAACCGGCGGTGGTGTCGACATGGAGCTGGAGAGAGCTATAGCGAAGGGCATGGCCCTGATGTCAGAAAATGACGTGCAAATAGCGAGGTCGCTTGGGCGCGAAGCAAGTTTCTGCGGGCTTAGATCAGCAGAAAGCGCTGTTTGTGTAAATATTCTGATCGATCAGTTGAAATAGCGTTGATAACAATAATTTCAGGCAGAGGAGCCGCCCCCCAGCAGACAACAACAACACGCAGATGAGCCCACATCCGCACGCCATCCAGAGATCTCAAAGGATTTTGAGCCCTCTCCCACAGAATTATACCAGGAACTGAGTATGGTCGGCAAAAACATCGCTGTTTATTTTGCAAACTATGAGCATTTTTTGCAGTTCGAAAGTGAGACGGATGATGACGAATCTGCACCACCACGAAAGAAATCTCGCAGCAATCAACATCAGTTCCTCGAAGAGCAAAGGGAACTACTTCGAGTGAGTGAGTGCAAGACATAGATATTTCTAAAGGAGTTTTGTTTCAGTTTCAAAAACTTTTACTTGAAAAAGAGTACGCTCTTTGCTCCAAAGTCGACGCTTTGCTCGAAAAGGTGAACCTAAAACTGGAAGTAATTTGTGGAAGAGGTCATGAGCTCATTTATGATGATAGCTTCGATAAGGTAGTGGCATTGGACGGCGATCCTAATATTGAAAAATCTGTGATTTGATGTCAAAAATTGGATTCCTGAATATCAGGATCACTGTCGATTTACGTGGATTGATGTTTAGCGATTTCTTTGTTGTTTTTTTTTTGTTTATGTAGTTGTTGATCGTTGCTGTTGATGGTATTATAGCTTTCTTTGCTTGTGGATTCTCTGTTCAAGAGTAAACATACTTTTCCGAATCTGGATAAACTGATTCTAAGATTTCTATATGCTTGTTGAGTTTTGCAATAAAATTGTTTTCAGCTTGATACCTTATTATCTAGAGATAACGTCGAGTCGTAGGCCGTGCTCCTCAATCTACAGTAATTTCGGTGATCAATAACATTACTACTAGAATGGTTGTTCGCTGTTTGTGCGTGCATGTAATAACTCTTTGCCCTTCACAGTTCATATAATTAGTTGCGGACAAGCCCACGCGAATTGACATAACGCACGGACTGGCCATACTGCGGAACTTGCGTCGCGAAATAAAACGCTTGGCCCAGTAAAAATTCGCCATTGTATCGTCGATTCGTTGACCGCACGGACTGCTTAGACGCTGCGGACCACGCACGACGCGGATGAATTGTCGCGAGAGCACGGTTTGTACAATGGCGAATTGGTACTGGGGCAAGCGTTTTACTTCGCGACGCGTGCTCTGCGGTGATGTATACTAGTCTGTGCGGTCAACGAATCAACTATACAGGGCTCCTGAACTGCAGAGTCGTGATGATGAATCTGATGATGGAGTGACACATATCTGCTCAGTATACCAAGGATATGCACTTCAGCACTCAACACGAAGGCTGGATATCGCAGGAAAAGAAATCATCCGCCATTTTATCAAGGTACGATCTATGAGACAACAATGCTGTCACATTCTCTTACAGTATGTACTAATTTTTATCTTGCTTTCCTTTTCTTTTGTCCCTTTATGATCTAATTTGCTGATCGCCGGATTTCTTTCCGCTTTTTGCTTTTTTCGATGATTACATTCAAAATTCGCAATCGTATCTGCCATGAATCACCACATCACTTTCACTGATGTGGTGATTTCTCCTTGCGTTTTTTAGGTAACCGGTAATTACAGTTTTTGAAGTTTTGGCTGGGCATGGGTAATTATGGTATGGTAAATAAAGTTTTGAAGTCTTGGCTGGGCATGGGCTATGGGCATTAGGCTATGCTTTCTTTTCCCATTATTTGGTTGTCGTTGTCAACAGGCTTATTCATCATCTGATTTCTTTTGCTCTTCTATGCCAGTCCCGGTAGAGATCTGTCGAAGGTTTTCAGGGATCGTTCAGACCGCCCCGTTACCTGTCCAAACCCGGTGTGGACGTATTTAGGCGACTTGGACGTATTCGGGCGGGTTTGCATGGGTACCGGCGCGGTTCGAAGGATCCCTCAGAATTCAATTTTCTATATTGTGTATGGGAGCGGCCATACTACCTTGTGCTATTATTCTGATTGTTGCGATTTCAGTGTTCCTGCGATTGTGAACTTCCTATGCACCGCAATAACGCCGTGCTTTGCCTTTGCCTTTGCTTGCCAATAACGTCTTGGCGAAAAAGGTTTGAAGCGCCAGAAGTACTCTTTCAACCACATTTCATCATTCCTAAAAAACAAGAATCATCGGAAACATTGTTTGGATGCATACAGTCTAGTGCTATTGGTAAGCTATCGTAGTGTTCGGTTGGTTTTGTGTGAAATCAGAGAGCTATTTTGGCTTTCTAGTTAATCGACTGACCAGACTTCGACAAGCATATGTATCCGGGTCTCCCAATTAGATTGGAGATAAATGAAGCAGTTAGATTTGGATCGCGTTCTCGAAAGGAATACAGCTTTTCCAGGTGAACTCAGATTTCCACTTTATGATTTTTTTCCATTTTGTCTCATAGATACTTTCATTTTTTCGTCAATACGTTGTCAAATAGAGCACAATGACTATAATTGCTACTTCACTCTGTATCCATCCAGTATCATTCTTTGCTAATGGCAGATTAATACCAACATCTTTTGAAGAAAAGGAGTTTTACTTTACTATAAGCACAAACTGTAAGTAGTGTAAGCGCAAACTGTTTTTAAAAGTGCATGCGTTCTCTTAAATCGGTCTTGGTCTCTGCTTTGGCTAGATATAATCATTTTCGTAAGCTCTTGTTTGTCGTGAGGATGAAAATTTTACTTTTGGCTCTGCTGTGAGCGGTACCTACTTCCAGCAGCATAAGTCCCGCCTTGCATATTAATTTGAAAACAACTTGCATGAATGTTGCTTCTTCTTGTGCGGCATCGTTTTGTGACTTATTTTCATCGCTGTCATCTGCTGCGAAATCATCGACATTGACCCAGTTGTTGGTATGCGCGTGTCCCGGATTAGCATAGTTAAACAGACAGTCACTTAGATTGCAACGCAGTTGGGGGTGGTAGCGAGGCGAAGATAAGGAATGCTTTGAGGGATTGTTACGATCGCGATCTCTATTAAGAACAGAACATCTACGGGTTGTAATTTGAGACTTTACACACTGTTGTAAGCATATGGCTTAGCTTCATAGCCGTATTTCGCCCATAGTACTATCCCAATCAGCGTTTCTATTTACGAATTATACTTTCTTCTTTAAGTTCGGTGTGCCTCATGTCGGGATCCACAAGTATGACATGGCTCCATGAAGAGATTTCATAGTAATAAATATCTCATCATCGTTGGGAGAGGATCTGAAAAAGTCGGATTCTACATCACAAACATCTTTTTTCCTATTTTGTTCATGAACTTTTTTGTAGTAGCTAAAACCCAGCTTCCCATCTTCTCATCATAGTTTCCACTTTGCGTAGAATTCACCCTTTGAGCAATTTTTATGCAAATCCATTTGTGGTCATGACACGAAAAGTTTCTTTTTGCTAACGTTGTAAGTATTGTGTGGAACATGTAAGGAAAGAATAAAAAGGTTGAATATTTACGAAAAGTGTCTTTACTATGCTATATGCTCTGTGACACAGTATTCATTTGTTAGCTATTAACGACTCCTTGACACACTTTGCGGAAGTGTTCCAGGAGAATCAGCATGCTGGTAACTTGTCAAAACTCTGTCCTTGAGCATTGCTGTTGTGCTTTTTCGCTTTCAAATACTGCCGTGTGTGCAAAAGTAGCATGATTGGAATCCTACATGTATGCAATAAATAAATATATAAATGCCCAGTACTGTCTATTGACAAATGAGTTGGGTGTTGGTACTCATGGGAAACTCAAGACATGGTTGTAATGCAAAAAAGTGTTTTCTCGGAATGTGAAACTTACTGTATTTATAACGTCGATCATCTTCAGTCATTTTTCCAATCATATGTGTACGAAGGTGTCCATTACAAAAATGTTTATACACAATGATTGTTACACTATACAACAATAATAAATACATTATAGTCTACAAACGCATTATAATACTCATATATATATCTTTACATATATATAATATATACACTCAGACGAGTTGCCGAGTTAGCTCCTCTCTGATGTTGCCCACCCCAGACCTGGGGTGGGCCATGTGCGCAATCCTTCTGCCGAGATGTCGTATGGGACGACATCTCATGGAGATCATGATATTGTGTAGGACTGCGCATGCCATGATGATTTGAGCCGCTTTCTCTGGACGCACTCGCATTTTTGATTGCAGTATCTTGAAGCAGCCCTTCCATTTCCCGAACACACATTCAACAACTACCCGCATTTTACTGTGAGCAGTGTTGAACCTGCGCTGTGCCCGGTCTTGAGGGTTTCTATACGGGGTCAGAATTTCGTTGGAATTCGTAAATCCTGAATCCCCGATCAAACAGAACCCCTCCGGAACAGCTCCTTCGGCGAATGCGTCATGCAGACGGCTGTAACTGTACACGGTAGAGTCATGAACAGAACCAGGATAGTTGCTGTTCATATAAATGAATCTACCGTGAGCGTCAACAACTGCAAGTACGTTGATGGCGCAAAATCCTTTACGGCAGTAGTACTCCCACCCTGAGTAAGCAGGTCTCAGGATGGGTATCAGTGTGCCGTCGATGGCTCCGACGACATTGGGAAGTGCTCCCAGTCGTGCGAAGCCATCAGCCTTCCTCCGGCAGTAGTTCACGTCGTTGAGTTGGCATGGTAAGAACTTCTTCACTACTGCCGGATGGTTAAGCGCCCTCACCACTTCGTCCACCGCGTTGGAAACCGTCTTTTGGCAGACACCGATGGTGTCTGCCAGAACGGCCTGGTGGGCGTTAGTGGCAAGATACCGCAGAGCGATGATGATCTGTAATAAATACATGAAGTAATACCTTATACCAATATCAAATATCAAAATAAAACTTAAGAGGTGAGCTTCGAAAAAAAGACTGAATTATATAAAAAGATATTTTTGGCTTTATTAGATGGCATCAGTGGGATAGATGTAAAACAAATAAAACTACTTCCCATTTTTTGTGCATCATTTCCTCCCTTCCTCCCCTCTTCATACTCACTCTGCCCCCCTCCCCTCCCTTTCCCAAACTTTCCCCGCTACTCAAAGGTTAAAGAATTAACGCCCCCTCTTAATTGCAAAATCAAGAAAGGTGTACTGCTCTTATCCAAGCAAAAGTGGAGGTGGGTTTTGAATAGCATGTATAGCTGCAATCTTTGGGTCAAAAATTGGCCAAATGTGTCAGAGGTGTTATTCTGTGATTTGGTTGTTCCGGGGGATATGATGTGAAATAGAGAAAGAGCTTTCAAGAAATCAATTTCATATTTTAAGCTTATCCCATTTATTGTCATAATCAGGATCAAAGTTTTTTTGCGGAAGGCATTTTTGAAAATAATTGAAAATTTAACGAAACTTTGAATTTTATCATAACATAAACACCTTACTGTGTATTTTATATGATGATTTATTATTATTATTTTCTATGAGAGGTTAGAGGATTAGGCAAAGTTGAGTGTAGTTGAAACTTTTTAAATAGGCTGCATCTACTTAGATAGTGTCAGAATATTCTTCAAGCACAAAACAAGAAGCAAACTGTATTGCACCAGCGCTTTCAGGCTGTTCAATATCAAGATGATATTCTTCCCAGAATTTGAAATTTCTGAGCATTATATCGAAAAGGTAAAATAAATAATCACGATAATCATTGCTTTTTGAGGTGAAACCATTTAACTTACCTTATTTTCGATGTCGACCGTCCAATTTCCAATCTGCTCATGCGGTATCAGGGGCGCAAGAAGGCTACACAGGCGACGAAGATGATTTTCACCCATTCGATACTTCCTCATAATCAGGCGTTGATTAGCGTGAAATAGTCTCAATGGGTGTTCACGTCGATATCTAATATTTCTCTGCCTAGTGACAGAAAGAATTGCTGGAATGATGAGAACGGGCAGCATTCTAAATAGTAGATTATTATTATGCTGTAATAGTATGCAAGATCAACAAGGAAATTATCATAACTTATAATAACGGGCTAAGGGTTGTTTGCGTGTTTTTGTGTGTGTGTGTATGTCTGAATATCTGTCTGTCACGAAATTCATAGCGCGAGTTCCAGCCAACGTCCTGAGCCCAAATTTTGCATAGCGCATGCTACCAGCATAAAGGTCCACCATGCGAAAGCACAAGCGTTTGTTAGGTGGATCCCTCAAAAATTGCGCGTCAGCCGGGTCCAATTGGCTTTTGGCCCGCATAATCGGATCCGTATCACCATTTTTTGCAAAGTTGTGGATGTGCTTGGCATCTCAATGTGCAAGCCAAGGGCTTTCTTTCAAAAAAAAAAAAGATCAAAAGTTTACTACTTTACAAAAACGACGCCGAAAAAGTATTGATTTCTCGATGGTCGATTTGCCAAGGTTTTACCTAAGCATTTGAGAGAATTTTGCACAGAGATGTGGCTCAGGGTGTTATTGTCCTTATAGCAACTACCTAGCCAGAAAAAAGTTCAAGAACCTATTCAAATTTGCATTTGTTCTTCTGCGAAAAATTTCATTCTCTCAAAATTACCGTTCTCGCATGGAACAGCTTTTGGAATGAGTAGTTGTTTACAATTTATTTGTGATATTCGGCATCGTCCGGTGAGTTTCAATGCCATCTTAAGGCATGAGTGAGTAAGGCGTACAGAGTAGGACCACAGCGATCCTCTGCGAATCAGTGTAATTCGTAGCGCAAGCCGCAGCCAAAATTTCGAGCTGATTTTTTGGCTTTAGCATGCCAGCAGCACCCAAGTTAATTATGTAAAGAAGTGAGCGAATCTGTTTCGGTAGGACCTCGCGAGTCAAACGGATCCACCAGGCATTTGCTAAGGCAAACGAGATCCTAATGCAAGGAGTCTGCAGTAACTGTAAGACTTTCAACTTGGACATCTTCTAAGCCCTGGAATTCAGCGCAGATACATAGCAAAAAGTTAATTTCGTGCAAAAGTGGCGTCAAAAAGAGATGACTCAATTGATTGTTGATTTTCAAAGAACTCACTGTATAGCTGAAAATATTCTAGGCTGAAAATGTAGTGTGCATCTGTTGTTGTTCTAAGCCAACATCGCATTGATAAATTGGATTCAAAATTACACTAACCGTTCACCAAAAAGTATCGCCACGCTAATTTTACCGGTTTCACATGAAAACCTCGCAGAATGAATGTTTGTTTACATCATATTCTTCACGATCAGAATTTTCCGGGAAGTTCAAAGCAATTTGAGAGACGAGGCAGGGCGCTGTTTAGCTTTGAGGACAAGCATGGACACGCAGACCCGCGCACGACACGATATTCACGCGGTGCATAGAGCCAGTACTGTGGGCGTGCCACACTTTGCCTTCCTTAAGAGAAGATGTGCTCAAAAACTATAGAGTAGGACCAGTGCGAGCCTCTGCGAAGCAGAGGTGACGCACTGGTGTTTTTATGACTTTGCCAATTTGCGATTATGAGTTGCCGAAATTGCTCTCTCACTATATAGACTAATAGCTGTCAATGTATTTCTAAGGAGTTCCTATGCATGTGAATTTTTTGTTGCCATATTTGGCAAAATCTGTAATTGAGACCTTTCAGTATGCGTGCGAACTGTTTGCAATTTGCTTTTGCAGACATTCTTAAACTTTACGTATGTATTCTTGCTTTGCTTTTGCCAAATTCAGTATTTCAAATACAATCAATGTTTTCATTTATCAGGGAAATAAAAAAATTTTCACATTAATTATGTGAGATTTTGAGCACTTTCAAACAAAAAGTAGGTACGTAGATAGGAGAAAGCAAGGGAAACATTGAAATGCTGAAAACGCTTGTTAGAACAAGAAATATGAATTGGGAAACATTACAAAATTTAGGAAAGCAGGAATAATTCGGCATCAACTGAACATTGCAACTGTGAGAGTTGGTGATGAAAGGTATTTCAAAATGAGATAAGATTGATAAAAAAAAAGTTCTAAGGTTGGTTTTACATGGACTTGGAGAGATCCAGAGTTTCAAGGCATATGTTCTTAGGTTCAACTGGAGCTTAGGAATACATTTTGGCAATAAAGAATTTGAGCATTTCTCCAACATGATGATGAATTCTGAACTTGGGAGGCTGTATGAGCGAAGATTGCCTACGACCATGTTGAACTAATGGAAACATACTCTTATGTTTGATAGTTGTGAGTACACAGAGTTATATCGATGAAACCGAACTGCCAGTTTAATATTTTTTATGCAAAGTCTTTAATACTGAGGAAAAGTAGCGAAAGGCTTAGAGCAAGGTGTCCTCATTAATCAAGCTTGGCCAAAATTACAACTTATAAAAAATGAGAAATTTCAGACCAAAGAAAAAGATGTTAATGACAATGTCTAATTAATGTCTCATTATCAAAACAGTATTGAATGGGTAATTTTCGTCTTTGGCGCTCGTGGACTTTTTTCTTGGCACGACAGCTCGGCACCAGCTGGCAC